ACGTTATTGATAGCGTAAAACAAATGAAAATATCCGAATTAACTTACAAACATTGGCGTAAGGATGTGAAGTGTTCTTTACAATTTTCCAACTTGGCTTAGCAATAAGTATCAATGGAGGCATACGAGAGTTGGTTATATTGAAATTCAGATAGGTAGGAACTTCATCTCTTCGATACACATCTAATTTTGGATGCGCATTTTTTAGACGTTTGTACACTTCTTCAAATTTCCCTAATTATAAGAAAATGATGAGTAAAAATATGTAACTGTTACATCTTTACTTTTATTCTTATTAAATATATGTTACCGACTGATCTCTGAATGAATACTGGTAAGTTTGTCAAGATTTGACATTAAAACAATTGATTGAACATAACTATAATCCTAAGAACATTCCTCATAAGGTACAAATTTTACAACGAGCATTACACGTAATGTAGTAAACTGAAATTTCCCATCAGTACTTATTTCTAACATGAAGTTATGTATAAATGATAAGAGGAGGGTTTCGAAAAAGCTAAAACATCAGGTAACCATAATGAGTGAAAGATAATTAGTGTATTTTATAATGCATAATTGTAGTTGACGATGAATGAATGTAAAATCGGTGAGGTACGTTTTACACATTTATTTGTCACAGATTCGTAAGATACTTAATATTTCAGTGAGACTCGAGCACGACACTGATAGTTAGACACCAGATAGCTATTAATTAGGTTGGTTTACTATAACATACAATGTTCATTAGTTATTAAATTATATTGAGTTTTATGGGGTTAGATTTGTTAAGTTGGAAAAAATCAGATGAAATCGAAGCGAGATAACAATCAGTTGATTACAGAAAATGCACTGCTAGTGAGGATCAAGACAAATTCCCTTGAAAGTTTGTAAATCCTTCGTGTTTGAATCAGATCTAGGAATCTCGAGTGAACTCAGTGCAAACCAACAGTTCCTGAGTATGATCCCATACGAACTGTTTACAGTGTTGCTCGATTTATAAAACGAGATGAAACAGTAGCTGAATGAGTCCTGATTTTTAATGGGTATGAGATAATTCCGCACTGAAGAAAATCTCAGAAAGAAAAGTTTATTACAGTGCGTGAAGTTTTTTTCCGATAATGAAGGACTGAATACTTACCAGGTGCAGGATAAAGGAATCCCATAGTTGATAATTGAGTATAATTGTACAAAGAATTATCAATATATTTGTCCAACGGAATAAGACGAGTATTTGATGTTTCAGACATACCATGATCAGCAGTTAGAATAATATCTACTTTATCAGAAAGACCACGTTTTTTGATACCGTCTAATAGATGACCAAGTGTTTTATCTAAGGTTTGAACAACTTTTGCAACATGTTTACTATTTGGACCGTATGAATGACCAGTTTCATCAGGTTCTTCAAAATAAGCTAAAATTAAATTTAAATGATATCTAGGATTTTTCAACCACCATAGTATATCTCTGATTCGTTGGTCATACGCATAACGGTGTTCATAGTCATTAAGTAAAGCATATTGTGAAACTCGTTGAAATGGTAAATCATCGCTAACAAACTGATCAGTTAAAGGCCATAAAAGTGAACCAGTATAGCCACCATTTTTTTGCAATGTAACCCATATAGGTTCAGGCCAATCAGTTAACCACGGAGCATGATTTAGGCTTTCCTGATCATATATACTGAAAATTTTATTTGGCCATTTCTTATCCAGTAGACTATTCCCAACAACTCCATGATTTTCAGGATACAAACCGGTAATTAATGTACGATGATTAGGTAGAGTAATTGTAGGATAAACATTGATCGATTCCATAGCTCGTACACCTTCCGATATTAGACGATCGAAATTCGGTAATGCATTAGAGCCCAGATGAGCTTTAGTCAATTCTATATAATCATGACGAAATCCATCCATACTAATTAGTAAAACAGTTTTGTCGTGATTAAAAAATCTTGATAATGGTCCTTTTATATTCCATCGATATAAATTGATTTCTTGTGGTATCAAAATCACGAGAATAAGGGCACCGAATAGCATCATTACAATGCCTGATATAATTAATGTGAAGTAAGCACAATGAGTTCTACGTTTGTAACGACGAATACATTCGTGATTTATCTGATAGTATGGAGGGGGTAAGTCACTGTCATTTTGTATTATTTGTTCCGTTGACATATTTACTGTAATGAGACGAAATAAAAGAGGAAAATTACAATTTTAATGTCTTTCATATTAAACAAATAAAGTATTAAAAAGGAAACGATACATAACTTGGATCAACCTGTAAGAAAGTCTAACAGCTGGTATTTCTATTTGGCTAGAGAGAGGTCATAAATGGATTAGTAAATATTCAGTTAATTATGTTAATGGAAAGTAGTTTTTATTCTACTTGTGAATATTGGAGGCGCGAACAAGTGAACAAAGGTTTTTCCAATTACAGAATACCTTGATTGCACTAAGTACAAACGATTATTTTTAAATATATCATAGAATTGGTAGCTTCTTGATGCTTATATCGATAGAAGCCCCAGCTATCAATGATCCGTGAGAATGGAAGCAAACCAAGTTCAACAAGGCTTTCAGAACATACAATAAAGATATTAAGTAATGATGGAACTGAGAAATGTAGACTGCCATCGTGTTGAACAATCACACAGAAGTCATAACAAAATAACCCGCAAGGAATACGTGATAATAACATCACTACTATTTTCTAGATGTTCAAGAACCGCCATATATATTTCAAACTAACAGTGGTAACATAACTCGGCATTACAAGTACCTCAAATGTACATGAAAAAACTATTTGTTACAGAAACATGTACCGGAAAATAGAGTACGTTACTTCTCATTACTATTAGGTTAATTATAGTAATCACTGTCTTGAAACATAAAGATTATTGATAATAATATATCTATAAATCAAATGTGTGTTCTTATTCTTGTGAAGGATATACAGAGGCAAAATCTCAAATCATTTAACAAAGTTGAAGAGAAAAATAAAACAAAAACTTAAAATAGATTAAAATAACATAACTTGTCACTAACAACTATAGATTAACAAATATGATCATTTCGACAAGTGACAATAGTATATATGTTAGAAAAGTCTGTAATACAATAACTTCCTTGAAACAGTGTAGTACCCAAGATAAACTACAAACTAGCTTATTCTCTTAATTCCCAGAGGACAGGTATTATAATAAATATTATTCGCCAGAGAATAGTACTATTAGATTCCCTGTCCTTGGTAGTAACAGATATCTGATGTATGGGTCACAAATTAACTCAACTTCTGCTTTAATGTGTGTCTTGTAACAGTATTTATTATACAACAGGCACTAGTACAAATGAGTTTCAGGTCCTCAGACTCAACTTACTAACATTTGAATTAAAATTGGAAAGATAATATATGGTACTAAAACGAGATATGGTAATCCTGCACCAATTTATTTAGAAAAATGTGGTTTGGGTTAGTTCATGGTACTTTATTGTGCTATGCAAGTAGATAGAATAGTGATAAAGCCATAATAATAGATTTCAGATGAGGGAGATGAGTTTTACTGACAACTGGACCCAGGCAAGACTAGATAATGAGAAGAAACTAGCCAATGAATTTGTAAACTATCAACAATTAAGGATGGGATACATGCTATGGGTACAACGCTACTAACCTGTAAATTGTACTATTCTGTTTATCAAGTACCGTAGTAAGCTTCCAAAACAGTCTATTTATCGACTAGCGGTACAAGTTTTGCTGCTAGATCTATGGCCTCCCATCACAGTTTAGAAGAAAACTCTGATAAATAACTAAAGACTTCGAGTCATGCAGTTCGAGATCGAAGACAGTGACGAAAATGAATTCAGTTTATTTCTTGACAGTAATGCTGTTCCTCAGTTATTTTATTTTTACTGTGTACATTCTCGTATCTTTGTTTTTAATTATTCTGCTTAAATGACTGGTATCATGAATTAATTAAAATTTGAAGTTCTAACTGAAAAAATGAGTTATAATTGTTAAAAGACTAACTTACCTATTGGTTCACCTCCGAAATGGTAAATTGTTAATGATTGTACCTTAACTGAGTCACAGGATGAAATGAAGCAGTTGCACATATTTTACTGACCTCTAGTCGATGTCTTTATTCACACAACTGATTGAGGTGAATATAATTTTCGATGGTTCTTTACAATATATCATGAATTTCTAGATTTTACAAATATACCTTAACTTATTCTTTTCATAATTACGATACATGAGACAGATACATATTTAACAACTCCTTTAGAATTACACTGTACTATAATCAGCACATAGTTTCTCATTCTCTAGTTAAAAGAAAATGCAACAACCAAACGTATGATACGTATACACAATAGTAAGCCACCATAGTACGCAATGATGAATGAATTAATTGATAAATGCAATAGTAGTAGTATTTCATTTAGATTCAGTAAATGTACTCTTACAACAAAGGTATGTGTATTTCTGTACAAAGACTATTCATCTTAATTATTCACTGAGGTAATATAAATTCATCTGCGACTAAGAGTATTGTTTTACTGATAATGTTTGGAATAATACTGGGGGTGGGCAGGAGGAGGCAACAGACAAATTACGTACCATTTCTTGATTGTTTTGAACGTATACAATATAAGCAATATTAAAGCTAGTGCAACATTATTTAAAAAAAAAAGAAATTGTCAGTGCGGCAAGTGAACGAATACATATCAATGAAAACATTATCAACAATAACATGATACACGCAAACACAAACAGAATGATGAATAATTAACCACATTAGTAGTGCAAAGAGATTTGTCGTTAGTGTCAACTAAAGGTTGCAGTGATATAGATTCTCAATCGGTATTGAAAACAAATAATCAATTAAATATATTTTATTTGAGTCATGTAACAGAATATATGAGTAAAGAGAAAAAAACAGATTAATACAGTTTCAGGTAATCCCGTTCATGTAAGCTAAAGGTATTTTCACTGACTATAGCCATGTAATTTAGACACTGGTGAAGGAGCACGTCGGAAGAATAAAGATGATCCTCTAACAAAAGCATCCTATAAGGCAAAAATGTTAATTTATTAAAGTCTTTATTTATGCATACACTAAAATAAGTATTTTTCAGAAAATACGGTTAAAGTATAGTCCGGAGGAGCACGTACAAATTTATATAATTTATCACTCCTCAAAAAAGCAATTTAAAGATGTTAAGCAAATCATTTAATGTCTTATTTGATCAAGTAAATAAATACAGCCTAGCAATATATTCTAGAAAATATTATTTATCAATAGTCAGTCAGCTACAACGTAGGACCAGGCACATATATTCAGGTTGCCATACCGCATCAGCACAACAAGATGAACACCGGATTCATAGCAGTGATTAGGTCAAAGGTGGTAATATATAAGAGAAAGATTGCATATAGAGATATAGTACAAGAATAAAAAATTGGTTCGTAGAAAGAAAGATATGAAGTGATTTTAATCTCTTAGTTTAAAGGAAGACAGGGAGTGTATACACCGACGCCATTGTGATCGATTCTGAGCCATGTCACCAAGAGTCTCCAACCATTGGTTACGAAAGTCACGCGGACCCCAACCAAGTAGTCTGCATCTACCAAAATGGCTCAGACTAGAAGTTAGTGTCTTCAAGCACTGATGCCACGTTTTGGTTTGGCCGCCCCTAACTTTCTTCCAACCATCTCCAATACCGGATAGCATTGCACGTCGTGGTAGTCAATGTTCAGGCATACGTAACACGTGGCCCAACCATCTCAGTCGATGAAGATTCATAACCTCACCAACTGATTTACCATCATTCCTTAATACCCTGCGTCTAACCTCACTATTACTTACCCGGTGATCCCAGCAGACGCCAGCAATATTTCTAAGGCATCTGTGGTCAAATACTAATAGCTTACGAGTGTCTTCTACTCTTAATGGCCATGTTTCGCTGCCGTAAAGTAAAACAGAACGGACTGCCGCGCAGTATACCCGTCCTTTTAGTGATAGGCGGATATCTCGCCTTCGCCAAAGGTGACGCAAGTTGGCAAAAGCCAAGCGAGCTTTTCGAATCCGTGCTGAGATTTCGTCAGACACCAACCCATTAGGGCTTATCAGGCTTCCAAGATAAGTGAAATTGTCAACGCGTTCGACTACTTCACTCCCTATCCTTTGACTGTTGTGAGAAGTATTCGTTGATTTTTTGGAGCAATCAAATTTTGTAATGCTGTTTCTTATAAGTATCAAATGCTTTTCGATGATAATGGTGTCAAAATCTGGAATTTACTGTCGATAAGTGGACCTCCTGGAAGGAAATCAATACCCGAGAATTCAGTAGACGAGAATCTTATTTCCATCAATAGGTCTATGATGAAGTTAAACAGAAATGGGGAAAGTGGACAGCCTTGACGGCACGACTTCAGGTTGCAAAAGTAGATGACAGTTCGCCATAAGCTCTGACTCGACTAGTAGTGTTCGAGAAGAGAGCCTTCACAAGGTTTATGTACTTCTGTGGTACGCCTTTCAATGACAGATACTGCCACAGAATCTCGCGGTCTACCGAGTCAAATGCTGCTTTCAAGTCAAGAAAGACCACCATTGTCGGACGCCGATAAGTATGCCTGTGTTCTAGAATCCGACGAATGGTGAATATGTGGTCGATACAGCTACGACCAGGTCTGAAGCCAGCTTGGTTCTCTCGTGTTTGCAGTTCACGAGTCTTAGTTAGGCGTCTGATAATTATCGAGGCTAGTATTTTAGATATTATACTAGTTAAACTAATCTCTCTATGGTTGTCACAGGATGATTTTGACCCTTTCTTATATATTGGGACGATAAGTGATTGTGACCAGTTAGATGGGATAACGTCTAACTCCCAGATCTTAGCTAAAATATTAGTAAACCTAATCGCTAAAATTGGACCACCATCCCTAAAGACCTCTGAAGCCAGTCCATCTGGACCAGCTGCCCTTCCTCGTTTCAGATTAACTATAGTCTTTTGAACTTCAGCAACAGTTGGGGGACCTACTTCAATGTTCCATTCACACTGTCTGGGGATGGAGGGTAGTTGCAGAGTAGCTGAAGGCCAGTTGAACTGTTCTCTGAAATGTTCCGCCCATCGTTCTAAACGTCTGGACTGGGAGCAGATGAGAGTATCGTCTTTTTCCGATATAATCTCACTTACACTTGACTTATTAATTCCAGTTTCTTTTATTAGCCTGTAAAGCTGTCTTGTTCCCTATAGTCGCCGCCTTTCCCATCTCTTTTGCTTTCATAGCCCACCACTGCTCACGGTCGTTTCTTAGACTTTTTCTTAACCTAGATCTGATTTGTTGTCGCTCTTCATCATGTTCGGAATCTGATGGGACGAGTTTGCGAGAATCCATCAGTGTGATAGACCTTGAAGAAATCCACTGGTTCTTTGTAACTCTGTGGTTTAAGTCGCTAATAGATGTCACTGCTGTTTCCACAGCTGCTTGTATGTCTTTCCAAGCAACATCTGGGTCATCCTCGTCTTCAGAACTACCTAATTGTGACCTCAGTTGTTTCTGGAACCTACTTTTGGTTTTCTCGTTACACAACTCAGTTATAATGGGTCTTTTTACTGAGGCTTTTTTGCGCCCAGTGAGGCGCAAGCAGATGCGTGCCCGTATTAGGGCGTGGTCGGAGTCCAAGCAGGTACTCCAGAATGAGCGACAATCTTCTACCGACCCTCTCCAACGATGACTGATGGTAATATGGTCTATTTGAGTCCATCGTTGGTTTGGTGTAAGGGGTCGCCACGTTAGACGATGTCTCTCCTTATGCTTAAAATTTGTGTTTGCTAAAAATAAGCGATTGTCTGAGCATAGCTGCAGCAGACGGTCACCATTATCTGTTCGCTGTGCCGGAATGCTAAAATATCCACCTAAATGCCTTTTTGTTCGGTTTAAGCTACCTATCTGAGCATTAAAGTCATCCCCTATGAGTACTATGTCTGAGCGTTTAGCTTTCTGAAGAAGTTCAGAAAGCTTTCTGTAAAATTCATCTTTCATTTCATCTGAGCTGCAGTCAATGGGAGCGCAGGCAGAAACGACGAAAAGGCAACGACGTGCATCCCTATCCTTCCGAGTTCTTACGTAGCCGTTCAGCCGAACAGCACATAGATGACTGTTGACGGGGATCCACTCTAGCAGTGCTTGTTCCGCCCTCATGCTTAGTGCTATGCCTACACCTGTCAGTCCACGAGAACTGGCCATCGGGTCACCAGATACACGGAGGGTGTATCTCGTTGGCTCTCCGTTTTGCCGTGGTGAAGCCGAGTGAATGACCACACTGGAATCCTGTATGCGTGTTTCGGAGACACAGCATACATCAATGGTAAGAGACTCTAGGGTTTTAGCTAAGGAAGCCTGCTGATCGATTTGACATAGGGTGCGTACGTTGAAGGCTCCAATGTGTAGTTTGGAGCGAGGTTTCAGTAGACCTGGGACAGTGTTTTGCGCACTAGAATCGTTGGCTATGGTGACACTTGAGGTGGAAGCCGGGAGAGGAAATTTAGAGTTGAAAGTCGATGTAGGAGGAATAATAGGAATTGAAGAGGGAGGTTGATTATGAATACAGTGGTCTCGAGTGCTGTTAAAGGTATGAGGGTGGTTATCACTTCCCGGTCGCCTACACCTCCCACGAGAAGGCCGTGCGCGACCGGCTTCAAGCAGTTGTCCCTTGGGCACTGCGGTCACGCTCCCAGGTCGTTAAGACCAACACTAATCCAATTTCCTTTTCAGGTTCCTCAAGAAATACCCTTCCACGGTGTGGGCAGCCGGGAAGTGACATCAGCCCTCATACCCGTAACACCACACGAGACCAAGTTGGCCACATTCAAATCCTTTTTACACCTCCTAATACCTCTCTTATCTCCATGACTAACCCTCCTCACGTCTCTTTATCACCTCGCACCGCTGGGGCAAACGATTCGAGTACGCGGAACGCTATTCCTGGTCTCCTGAAACCACACTCTAAACTACACGTAGGAGCTTTTAACGTCCGGACACTGTGCCAAATAGGACAACAGGCTTCCTTAGCTAAGACTTTAGAATCCCGCGCCATCGATGTGTGCTGCGTCTCCGAAACGCGCATACAAGATCCGAGTAGCGTCATTCACTTGACCTCACCATGCCGAAATAAAGAACCGACTCGATTCACACTTCGTTTATCTGGAAGCCCAGGTTCCGCTTCCCGTGGCCTCGCCGGCGTAGGTATAGCATTGAGTCCTAGGGCAGAATTAGCTCTCTTAGAGTGGATCCCAGTAAACAGTCGTTTGTGCACTGTCCGACTAAACGGAACAGTAAGGATCCGAAAAGATAGGGACACTCGTCGTTGCCTCTTTGTCGTCTCTGTCTATTCTCCCACTGACTGCAGCTCAGATGATGTGAAAGATGAGTTTTACAGAAACCTTTCCGACCTCCTCCTAAAAGCTAGGCGCTTGGATGTAGTAATAGTGGCCGGTGACTTTATTGCTCAAGTAGGTAAACTAAGCGATAGGGAAAGACACCTGGGTGGATCTTATAGTGTCGTGGCTCAAAGAACAGATAATGGCGACCGTCTGTTGCAGCTATGCTCAGATAACCGCCTTAAGCATAAGGAAGAACATCTTTTAACATGGCGGCCCCCTAATTCGTCCCAACGTTGGGCCCAAATAGATCACATCGCTATCAGCCACCGATGGAGGGGCTCGATAGAAGACTGTCGCTCATTCTGGAGCACATGCTTAGATTCAGATCATGCTCTAGTACGAGCGCGTATCTGTCTGCTTCTTACTGGACGTAGGAAAGATGGTGCACGGAAGCCTCTTAGGGGCCTACTTAATGATAGTCAAGCTAAGAGTATATTTCAGGAACAACTAGGAAAACAGTTAGGCAGCCATGTATGTTATGCCCAACTCGCGTCAGCATGGAATGATATCCGAAAAGCTGTGGAAACAGTAGTGATATCTGCTAGTACGATAAACCACAAGGTTAGGGAGGAACACTGGATCTCAGCAGCATATACCGCACTGATAGATGCTCGGAAACTCATTCCATCTGGCTCTGAACATAATGAAGAGTGGAATAAGCTTAAGCGCAAGCTGACAAGAAGTCTACACAATGATTGTGAACAGTGGTGGGTAGCGAAAGCAAGAGAGATGGAAAAGGCAGCGGTAATAGGTAATAGCAGGCAATTGTTCAGACTTGTTAAGGAAACCGACTGTTAGCGAAACAATCTCAGAAAAAGATGGACATATTATACATTCTCAATCCAGGAGATTGGATCGATGGGCAGAACACTTTAGAGATCAGTTCAACTGGCCTTCAGCCACACTTCGGTTTCTCACGATCTCCAGTCTACCCGAATGGCAAGTTAATGTAAGTCCTCCGACTCTTTACGAAGTTGGAAAAGCCATAGGAAATCTGAAGCTAAGGAGAGCAGCAGGCCCTGACAGGTTTACTCCTGAGATTTATACGGATGGTGGTTCAGTATTAGCAGTGAAATTAACTGAGGTCCTAGGTAGAATTTGGGAACTGGACGTAATCCCATCTGACTGGTCTCAATCACTGATTGTGCCAGTCTATAAGAAAGGACAAAAGTCCTCTTGTGACAATCACAGAGGAATCAGTTTGACTAATATAGTGTCGAAAATATTAACTTTAATAATTCTTCGACGCCTAACCAAAGCTCGTGAAGAACAGACTAGAGAAAATCAGGCTGGTTTTCGACCTGGACGTGGTTGTATAGACCACATATTCACACTAAGTCAGGTTCTAGAACACAGACACACGTTCAGACACCCCACAATCGTAGTATTTCTCGAAATTAAGGCGGCATTTGACTCCGTTGATCGTGAGTTTTTATGGCAGTGTTTGTCACTGAAAGGAGTACCAAAGAAATACATTAACATTATAAAGGCTCTCTACTCAAACACAACTGGTCGAGTGAGAGCTTATGGTGAACTGTCATCAGAATTGATTACCTCAAGTGGTGTTCGTCAGGGCTGTCCACTCTCTCCATCCTTGCTCAACTTTGTCGTCGACGTACGTTTAGAGATGACACTTCCCTCGTCTAGATTTCCAGGGGTTGAACTTCTACCCGGAGGTTCACTTGTTGACTTAGAATATGCTGATGACATAGTTTTATTTGGCGAAGACGCTGACAAAATGCAGTCTTCTGACCACTGTAAACAACAATGCAAGCATGTTCGGGATGCGATTCTCCCTCTCGAAATGCAAAATGTTGCTTCAGGATTGGGTTACATCGACACCCGAACTAGTGATAGGGAGTGAAGTAGTTGAGCGTGTCGACCGCTTCATTTATCTTGGAAGTCTCATCAGCCATTGTGGTCTGGTGTGTGACGAAATCTCAGCACGGATACAAAAGATTCGACTAGCTTTTGCCAACTTGCGTCATTTATGGCGTAGGCGAGATATCCGTCTATCAACCAAAGGACGGGTTTACTGCGCAGCAATTCGTTCCGTCCTACTTTATGACAGTGAAACATGGCCGGTAAGAGTAGGGGATATCCGTAGGTTACTAGTATTTGATCATAGGTGTCTTCGAAATATTGGTCGTATGTCCTGGGACCATCGAGTAAGTAATGCAGTTGTTAGAAAACGGGTACTAGGTAAGGATGGCAAATCAATTGATGACGTAGTGAAACTTCGTCAGTTGAGATGGCTGGGACACGTGTTACGTATGCCCAACGACCAACTGCCTCGACGTGCGATGTTCAGTGGTATAGGAGTAGGTTGGAAGAAAGCTAGGGGCGGCCAGACCAAAACATGGCACAAGTCCATGAAGTCACTGACAAGTGGACTGTCATGTTGGTAGGTGTTGACTACCTGGTTGGGGACCGCAATATGATAGCAACCGATGGTTAGAGACCTTGAATGACATGGCTGAAAATCGTTTGCAATGGCGCAAGTGCATACACTCTTTGTGTTCTCCCAAATTTTGAACTCCTTATTCCTCCTTGTCTCTTTTTTTCTCTTCCCAAATTTATTTCACTGGATTATACTCTTTAAATAGCATCTTCAAACACTAATCTTCCCGATTACTGCTGATACTCTTACTATCTCTACCACTACGGGATTTGAATCGACCACTGCATCTGTGTGCTAATGTGGTGTGGCAGCTCGAACTGATGCACGTACGTACAAAGTTCTACGTTGTTACTTACTGACTGACTGAAATTTAAACTTGTGCTTTTTCCCTTCTAAATTTTATACGTAACGTACTAGCTATTTATACTGGGGCTAAACTCTTATTTTCTCTATTGGTTGATCTTGTAACATGTTAGTTTATTGTTGTACTTTAGGAGCATTTTAAAAGTAATTACATATAATTGCTGTTAGCTTGCATCAACCTTCGAACCTTCTGAGTAAGATACGTTGTTTGCATTAGAGGTGGCTAGGAAGATCATAAAGAGTTGTTGGGCTGTAACCAATCTTGGTAGATTGTGAAGAGATATATTTTCTCACATTAGTTTCTCCGCGTTGTGATGCGATCATTCAAGCCAATAGTACATAAATGACTATTAATGAAAACTCCGTCGATTAGTAATGCCTATGCTTTGGTGTTTGATCTGACACCAGACACCTACTACACAGGGTCCCTGAAATAAGTGCAGGTGCAGTAGATTTTCAAAATTGGGATGAAAAGCGAATTGTAGCACTTTTTTAGAGTTTTAGATACAGGTGTCAGATATACAATATACGCCAACATTGTCTTTCCAAAGACATGGTTAAATCTATTTATTGTCCGATTCGCATGACGGTAAGAACGCAGAATTCTAAACGACACAAATGGTTTTAGAAAAACTGTTATTAGAACTAGCAAATTAATGGTGACATGACTGCAGACCATTTAAACAGGATAGAATTCTAGGCAACAACAAATAAATTTAGTGCATTCCCAAAATGGAATGGAAAGTTAAGTCAGTATAAAACAAATTTTCCAATAGCAAAGTAATCGTAAATATTACTCGGAAGAATAGTAAAGCAGAACAAATAGAACATTTTATCCATCAATAGCTACCTTCGTATTTGTGTGTCGGCTAGGATACTGTCTAAAATCCCAAATCGAACCAGAGGTTTGATTAAATGGGCTACCCCAAGCGTTTGAGCGAAAGGTCCAATCAATAACAAAGTAACGTCACGACATGCAGTCCTATGGTAGCCAATTCTGAACCATTGATTTATAACCACGGTTTCGAAAACCCTCTAAACTGACTCTTCTTATTCACCAACCAAGTTTAGGTGCTGGGCATCTGCTCTAGTCTCGTCACCTCGAAAATGAACACAGAAACACACTAAACAAATGTCAATTGGACCACCTATACCGCACCTACGATGAAAAGACTGGTTGGTGAAATTTCGTAGACAATAAATGAACGCCAAATTGACGCTAATGCTATTTTCCAGAGTGACAACCAAAACTTCGCTTAGAGAATGCAACACCATTAGAGATCAAATATGTATGGCTAGACCAAGATTTCTTTAACTACTGTTTTGAACAAATGACGTCAGGTTGAGGTATATTAGTTAAAAAAAAGTTGTACGACATAAATACAGAGAAATAAGAAACTTACAGATTGGCTGAGATAGGAATAACACTGCCACCAATTGTTGAATACAGGTACGACGTTAATACTGTTAAACAGACAAGAAGTAAAATACATCAATATCACTTAACATAATAAAAAAACTTACATGATGGAGGGATAATATTAAGAGACTGTTACCACATTTTGTTTAAAATTGCTATTATGAATACAGAAAATGTAGCAGCCTTAAGAAACTCATCACATCATTTGTGAAAAATAAAGGCTGTTCTGCAAAGAAAACTATTTTCGATGATATCATTTAGTGAAGCTATTTAAACATTTATAAGTTAGTAAAATAGAAGAGTGTTAAATCAACTAACAAAGGTATAAAAAGTGTGACTTAAAACTCGTTTTACGAGTGTATATCCTGAAATCACATCTGTACTTTGTACTTGTAGTAATGAGATAATACTTATCAAAATACAATCTGAGTAAGAACAGTTTTAATGCGTTTTGAAAATATGACAAATTAACACATATGAATGCATGCAAATGAAGAGATAAACATTCTATAACAAAATATAAATCTGCTATTTTGTGTATAAAATTTATGTTGGTCTATAATGTCCTCAACAATAAGTTTCCTTTGTTACACTATCAATAAGAAAAGACTTAAATAATAATGGAGTAAGAAGTATGTAACCTTTGGTTAATAAATAATTGATCTTTGATCGAAATAATATTAATTGAACAGTCGCAACTTTTGACAGTGAGGCAAGATAATTTCATTTTATCATGAAACCATTAACGTTTCATAATTATAAAAGCCAAATTTGTTGATAGACTGAAATTTCAGGGTTACTCAGCTTAGTTATGCAATTCCTTCTATTTTTTTTTACTAATTACTCCCTCTGGTACATTACCAAACTCTAAAATATATTAAAATAACTGACAAAAAATGAACCAACGATGATTACCCTGAGTAGCATATAAAATTAAATATCTATTTCTGATGTTATTCTCTAGATATCTTCCATACCTATCATCTACAATTCCTACTAGAGTATCCATCATCCTTTAGATCATCAAGTAGTCCTCTTTCAATATCTGAAATTCCTGAACACTTTATAACACAAAATAATTTCGTTTTTAGTAAGCCATGATAGTTAGCATATTACGTGGTTATACTTCTTTTTCTACATTAATATGCTAAAAGTATTTTATCCCAAAGTAAATGGGATAAATAAGTCTGTGATACACACAAATGATTAAACTATTAAGTATCTTAGAATTTATAGGTTGAACCATTTGTTTAAGAGGTGAGATAAAATAATAAAACAATAATTAGAAATTTACATAGCTGCAGTTCTACTCATACAGTATAAAGCATAAAGTTTAACTTTAAATCGTAGCGAGATTGTTTCTGAAATTAATAATATATTAATAAAAATGAAACAAATTGGTGTTTTCATATCAAAATGACTTTATTTTCAGAAGTGAAGTGTGGAAGTCAATCTTTGTAAACGATGACTTTGTTATTATTTATCGCATTTTCTATAATGTTCAACTAGAAATTGAAAAACCAAGTAGTTATTTGTAACTACTTTTATAAAACTATTATCAGACGACAGAAATATTAGTAATCGAAAAACAGGCTCTTACTACTAGTAAAGTTTAAGCGCTTGAACCAGGATAGTATTGATAAAAACAATCTCATACTGTTTGGGTTTTAATGACTGATTAATATAGAAATTTATAAACTAAAAATATCACAAACTACATAGATAGTATCTATGATCACTCACCCATAAGGATACATAAGATTACGGTAATCAAAGAATATTAGAGTAAGCACTGTGGATACAGCTAACTGTTTAGTAGTTGATAGAGTACCACAATGAAGCATTTAAGAATAAGAAAAATGCTCTGAAACTAACCAGCTGATTATACAACCAAAAAACTTCTGGAAATAATTGAGTCAGGGAGACATCCAGTAACACAGAAAGAACTTAAATGTTATGGAAATAGTAAATAAAACTATATGGTAAAAAGATACGTATTCATAGACGAAAATCGGATAAAGGAACAGCGTTATATATATATATATATATATATATATATATATATATATATATATATATATATATATATATATATATATATATATATATATATATATATATATATATCAGTAGAGATTGGTGGGTAGGTCAAAATATCAATCATAACTAAAAATCACAACAGTTTCATAAATAAAAACACACCACAAACACGCATATATATATATATACTACAGATTGTGTTCTAAAATATGACGTACGTCGAGTCACAAGCAGCCATAACTGTGGAGGTGACTGTGAGTCCATGAGTGGCGCCACTTACTATCATCTGAAAGCAAAAGTTAGAAACACACATGAAAAGCAACTGGAAAAGATTTGCATGACTATAAATGTCAGCTTATTGTAAATGTTGTATAAAATCAGGTACATTCTACACAATACGCAAGTTCCTCATCTTGTAATGAAGTAAAAACATTGTTTACTCATTAAAACTATACTCATTTTCATGTTGAGTAATTTGGCCTATGTGATTTTGTATTCTCTAACGCTACACTCACGAAACTGATCTTCAAAGATTTAGATATAGTGGAAAATTTATACTGAACTAACCTTATTTTTGTTATGAATCAATTGGTTTAAACATGACTCAACGATTATCAGTCGACGGAAAAATTCATTTTGTCAGCTTTGGTTTGTAGTTAGCCAGCTAGTATGTGAAGTTACAATTTGACATACAAACGCAAATTATTTTTAAGAACGGTAATCATATTTATACCCACTATATCATATTAAAAATAACGCTACGCTTACACACAAAGAAAAAGTCAGCCAAACACAAAGTAGAACCCAGTACATGAGCACACCGGTTCAGGTTGTCATACCCCATTAACACTGAAAGATGAAGTTGTCAGGGCGAATCCCAGATTAGTGAATGTAGTAACAGTTATAACAGTAATAGAAAAGATCAAGCATCCAGAATATAATCCGATGAGAGAGTATAAGTCAACGAAATAATTTTAAAAAATCTATCGTGAATTTTTTATAATCAATACTGAGGGAGGAACTCTAAAAAAGTTTTTTTTTAATTTGTGGAAATAATAAGTGCAACTTCTTACATGCCGAATTGTAAGATAAATTAGAAATCAAATCATTTGCTAGTGCTTTAGACAATGAATCAGAAAACCAAATCTCGACAAGCACAAAAAGATTCGAATTTATGATCTAGTAGTTAAAACTGAATGTCCAAACAAAGTCTATAGTTTTACTGTATTATCGACTAACTGATGAGGAAAGAAATAACCTATTCAATAGGTATTAGGGTATAAGGGATTACGTATGAAAAGTGATTACACTACCTGGCTACCTAAACAGAAATTTGAACCTTGGACTTCGTTGTTTGGATCAATCATATGCAAAATAGAATCTAACGTATTTGCCTTTGTTCAGGCTGGTACACCACATCAAGACAGCAAGATGTCAGAGTAATATAGATAGTGACAGTACTAGTGGTGGTAGAAAAGATTAAAAATATATTGTATGATTTGGGAAAATATGGATTCGTGGAATAAACTTCTTCCAAAACTATTTAGGGACTTAGTCTAAGGGAAGAGACAAAGAACGAATTCACTGCGAACGATTACGAGACGTTAATGGGAGTTCTTAACCATTGGTTAACATCGTGCGAATCCCAACCGCGTAGTCTGAACCTAGTTAAAGGACTCAAACCAACAATCAATAGCTTTGTGGGTTGATGCAATGTCTTTGTTTTCCCATCTCTAGCTTCCTTCCAGCCTACTTCTACGCCAGACATTATTACACATCAACGTAGGCGGTGATTCTGCATACTTGATACACATCCCAACAACCTCGGTCGATGAAATACTAATTTCTCGTTAACCGACTAGCCATTTTTACCTAGTACTCTACGTCAAACCATAGCATCGTCAACTCGATGGTACCAACATATGTCATCAATGCATTTATATGTGATTTCTCTTTATTTGGTGCTTTGTTGTAAAAACGGTTGGCACAAAGTACAGAAAAAAAGTCATCACGGTTAGTAAGAATATTCAATAATGATAAAAGCTAATTCTTGAACTACTGAACAAAATAATGTGTACTCACCTCAGTTACCAATGGAGTGTGCTTTTTCAGAGGAGGGTCGATACGGTCCATGAAAATATATTTATTGAAAAAATAGGCAAGACAAGCAGTCAACCAAACTGTAATAACTTCTCCAATTAATCTAGGTGTCAAACCACTAGAAAGGAATATCATTTAGATAAAACACACCTGAAGAAACTTAAAAAACCTTCATTTCTCAGTATAGTAGGAAAAGCATTGAAAATACAACTAGAGGGAGACAAACATAAACGAAATTTATTTGTGATTCATACTCATATAATTGTGTCCCATTGATAAATTGCGACATTTGGCGAATCATTATGACTATTTTTTACGGTGAAAATACATCTAATATTTGAATACCTTGGAATGGATAACTAACAACTACACCCACTACTCGAGCAACAGTACATTTACTGGTCTGAAAGGGTAAGTTAGTTAAGAATGATATTAATCAAAATTACACTGATCAAAAAAATTCTGATTCCTTTATCAGTTTCAAAAAATGTTTTCTTTTCAAAAAAGTCCGGAGTTAAATACTTTTGCAAATAATCATTGTATATTAAGCATTTTGTACCTCCATAGTGATGTTGGTAGAGTACGACTTAACAAATGACCCAATAATATTAGCAGGAAGTCCAATGGTGAAAATTCCATACAACCCAACCTCTTGGCGAAGTTTACGACCTTTAATTACAATGAGATAATTGTTGGAGAAACTTGCAGTAAGTGAAAACACTTGGGTAGTAATATACTTCATAGTTCGGACGTAGAATGTTACGTAAAGTAAATCGACGAACAGGAGGAAATGGTTCATACCCCAACTTAAAAGTTACATTTGAAAGAATATGACTTACCAACATCATTGTCCTGGCATAAGTCAGGGGATGAGTTATGGCTGGCATGAACGACGGTATCAAAAATTTATAGGTGGTTTCCAAATGATCCATAGTAATTAAGCTATTGAAGGAAAATGCATTGGTAGATGCAATGAAATGAACCAAGAATACAATACAAAAGTTAATCTTAGTGACTAAACCTTGCAGATAATATTACTATTAGATTTCAAATGAAATGTCACTAGGTAATTTTTTATTATTTCTAGAGACGATATAATAATGACTGTAGTTACACAAAATGGTATACATACACTGTAGGCCTACTCGTTTACTTATGAATGTCTTATTGTTACGTTTTTAATGATACAAAATTGCCAAATTTATAGCCGTCTTTTTACACGATTTACATGACACGGACCCTTTGAATTGGATGAAAAGTCTTTGCCTGGACAACCGGTCTACATAATGTGTCCATCCAAAATGATCAATAAACAGAGCAACTCGATTAGACTCAAACTTCCAGGAACTATAGCTATTTTTGGGCTAAAACGACTGTGTTCAAAAGGAATCAGTAGGTAATCTACAACTATCATGATAACTAATAGTGGGTAATATTAAGGACTGAAAAATTCACCATAGACATGTAAGGCGGAATAACTAATTAGGGAGTATTGGACAAGATGTGTTGTTAAAATGAAGTTCGACTCAATTTCCAAGATAATCTGTAAAAATGAAACGATTTCTAGTCCCGTTTAGTTTGGCTGTATGTCTAATTTATAGGTCCTGATTATTTGAGAGGACCAAACTTCCAACGAACCATAGTACAATCATAATTATCCCAGTGAATTTTATTTTCAGAAGCTGATAAGTGTAAGAACCAGCCTGAATGACTTCAGTTCGTATTTTGTGGCTGACATTCATGTTGGGAACCAAGAGTTCTGGGTTAAATACACAGTAAACAATTAATTTAACGAAACCTTATAATAAAGAAGAGTACCTACTCTCCTGTATCATAAGTGATAACCAAGCTGGTTTGTGTATGAAACACAGTGACGCTAGTTCCTGAGGGCATGAGCTATGACCACAAACTAGTGAGGTATTACTGACATTTTGTGGATAAATTTCCAAGAATAATCAGGGTTTAAAATTTTCGTGCGGGGGGATCTAACGTAGAATCTCGACTGTTTCAAGGAAACCTAAACAAACTAGGGAACCTTATGCGGATGGGACTGTGACAGAATTATGTTCCAAACTCCCAAAACCAAACAACATAATAACATGAACTCATGTTAGAATATCAAGGTTTTGAAGTGAGAGACACTAAAATTCGGAGATTCCGAATGTTTCCCCATGAACAATGAAGTCTAAATTAAAAGATAGGAAGGCAAACCAAAATTCAGCTTCGAGGAATTATAGAGTGAAACCATCTATATCTAAAAAAATTAAAACCGATCTCTTAAAATGAGTATAATGAAAGGGTTAAATATCATCTAATCAACATCTACGGAAATATAACAATGTAGATCATCGATACTCCCTAATCTCCTGATCCTAGGAGTTTCGCCCAATTCCAATGACAATTGGCAGTTTTCCCGAAAATTTCCCCAAAATCGGGATATTGGGTGCTTAAGTTTATATATCTGAAGTGACTGAAAACTGTGTTAAGTATTGATTGATGTGCGTTCAAACTATTGATTGGCCATCACGAATAGACCTTAAGGATATTTCTTAGAAATAACAAATTGCATTGTTTGAAAACAAACCAGATACTTTCAAACCAGTTTCTGACCTTGGTGGGGATGTATCGAATATTGTCGTTGGTATTCAATTACCATGTTGGTAGACAGAGATTATCAAAAGAGTGGGTCAGTTGAGCTGTGCTAATCCACAGAGTGTTCTTCCAGACGGTGACACGGTTTCACATTTTAAATGTTTATCGATTAAGTATATACTATTTGTTCCGACATGGTGTTTAAATGGTTCAAATGGTTCAAATGGTTGTGGACGGAATAGAAGAAGCTTTCGCTTAACAGGCTTCCGTGTCTAGTAGCAGGGGATCACCAAATCATCCAGGCAGGAACCTAGGTATGTTAACAATAAAAAAGGAAAAGAAATTGGTAAATCATAATGTGATGCTGTCCTTGGTCCTTAAGAATAGGTCAAGTTGCCTCTTGAAGGACTCCTGAGAAGTCGCTTGGACTAGCTCGGCCGGCAGCGAAACCCAGCTTTTGACAACTCTTAAGGAGTAGAAGTTGTGTCTACATTCCGTCTTGCTATGTTGTGTTTTCAGTTTCTGGGTGTTAGCTGGAATTCGCTGCCGGCCGAGCTAGTCCAAGCGACTTCTCAGGAGTCCTTCAAGAGGCAACTTGACCTATTCTTAAGGACCAAGGACAGCATCACATTATGATTTACCAATTTCTTTTCCTTTTTTATTGTTAACATACCTAGGTTCCTGCCTGGATGATTTGGTGATCCCCTGCTACTAGACACGGAAGCCTGTTAAGCGAAAGCTTCTTCTATTCCGTCCACAACCATTTGAACCATTTGAACCCCTTAGGTTATTATTCGAACTAAGCTTAAGTAGGTGTTTAAGAGGATGTCCAGAAGTGTTAAGAATACTATAAGCCATTAGTAAATCACCTCTAAGACGCCTATATTCTAGTGAGTAAAGGTCTAGTGAACGGAGGCGTTCTTCGTAAGGCTTAGATTTGAGTTCTCGAACTGATTTCGTGGCTCGCCGTTGGATACGCTCCAAAGTGACCTTGTCCTTTTGGAGTGAGGGGGGAGTACTATGTTTCCGTACTCTAAATGGGGACGGATGAAACTATTGAAGATTGTGTGGAAAGTTCGTCCGTCAAACTGTCCAAAAATGCGCTTCAACGTTACCAGTGCAAGGTATGCTCGGAAGGCATTTTTGTCACAGTTAGCGTAAGACTTTAAGTCATGGGGCACCAGGACTCCTAAATCTTTTTCGACTTGAGATACTACTAGAAAGAAGTTTCCTAAGTTGTAACTGTAGTTTGCGACATGTCTCAGATGGACTACTTTACACTTAGAAGTGTTAAAGGTAAGTCCGTTATCATCTGCCCAACTTTGAAGTTGAGTCAGATCCTCCTGAAGTGCCTGTGTATCGTCGTGGTTGCGTATCTGTCTCCAAAGTTTCACGTCGTCGGCAAAAAGTAATAAGTCTGACGTTACCTGTTGAAGAAGATCATTTATGTAGATGAAGAAGAGAAGAGGCCCTAGTACTGAGCCCTGGGGGACCCCACTAGGACATCCCATAGCCTGAGATAAAATGAAATTAACCCTAACCTTAAAGTGTCGATTTTTTAGGTATGAAGTAAGCCAATCGATTAGAGGTGGTTTGATACCTAGTCGTTTGAGCTTGTTGATAAGACACAAGTGGTTAACCTTATCAAAAGCTTTTGAGAAATCAAAGTAAATGACGTCAACCTTTCCCTTGCAATCGAGGATGCTTGTTTATTTGTCCACCGCAGTCAGCAGGTTGGTTATACAAGAGTAACCCTTCCTGAAACCATGCTGTTGGGGTGAGAAGAAATTTAAGGACAGTAGATAGTCATTTAAACCGTCGCATATCAGGGACTCCATGAGTTTTGAAGGTAATGACAGAAGAGCCACCGGCCGATAACTTGAAGGTTCATTGCGTCGACCACCTTTGAAAATTGGTGTGATGTGAGCCAACTTCCAGTTTTCCGGTAATTTGCCTCGGCTAAGCGAGTGTGAAAACATCACGCTAAGCGGCGTTGCCAGGATTGAGGCTGCCTCCCTCAGTATGGCAGGATGAACCATATCCGGGCCAGGAGAAGTGTCAAGTTTTAAGTGCTGCAATTTCCGGAACACCAAGTCAGCGCTTAGGTCCACTTCAGAAAGTCCTGTGGAGTTGGAGATGAAACTGTCGTCAATAAAGTTGATGTCAGCCGGTTGAAATGTTTGAGAGTAATGGGCCGCCAGAAGGTTAGCGGCGTCGCCATACTTGTTGGTCGGGCCGTTAAGACCTAGCAGCTGAGAAACTCCTGTTTTGGCTTGACGAAGAGAGGCTGCATAACGGAATAGGCTTCTAGGGTTAGAGGCGAATTTGTCCATAAGCTTTGTTTGGTACTGAAGCCTGTCTTCTCTTATAGCCTTCGTGCATGTGTTCCTGATATGTTTGTATTGCCTATACGCTCCATCGTTATTAGTTCGTTTGTATTCCGCCCAACAGTGCCGTTTGCGGCTTAGGAGGCGAAGGGTACGGTTCTTGATTACTGTAGGTGGCTTGAAGCTTTCGGGAACCGTTTGAGGAACTGAATGGTCTGTAGCATATAAGAGCGTATGCAGTAAGAAGTCCCAATGACCATCCACATCGATTTGAGGGTGAACATCCCAAACCACCTGTTGTAGATAGTCGTGTAGAGCTGGCACTTTCAGCCGTTTAAAATTCCAACGCAAATTATTGTTGGGATACCTTAGCTTAGTTTTGATGACAAAACTGAAGGCTATGACGGCATAATAGCTTTTTCCCAGAGGAGCCAGGATTGAGAGGTTGTCGACTAGGAATTCTTCGTTAGTGAATACACAGTCTAAGCGCGATGGTGTCTGACTGTTTCCCCAACGAGTTGCCGATCTCACATTTTCGTACAATCCCAAGTCATCGATGAGGTTGAAGAACCGAGCCTCAATTGAGTTGTCGCCTCCAGTGTACGTGTGTTCCGCGATGTTGACTCTAGGGAGATTAAAGTCCCCTAGAATCAGGATGTGTGTGAAACCGAGAAGGGTAGAGTGGGATAGTCCTTCCAGCATACGACTATCGTACTCGGTGTCGGCAGTTGGCTCCCTGTAAATGACTCCGACTAGACACCTGGAAGTACTAAACAATCTTACAGAGCACCATATGGATTCCTCAAGATTGTTAAACTCGAGGTTGTGAACCTGGTGCACCTCCAAGCAAGAGCTTATGTATATGGCTACTCCGCCCCCAATTCCTGTTCTTCTGTTGTTGCGGAACAAAGTCATCCCAGGCAATGCTAACTCTTCGTCCGAGAACTGAGAAGATATCCAGGTTTCAGATATTCCTATCAGATGGGCCTTGCTAGCGTTGCTAAGTTCACGTAGTTCATCCAGTTTGTTTGGTAGACTCGCGGCGTTCATATATGAGCAGTTTATGCTTTCAATTTGGAACGCGTGAGCTTCGTCCTGTTTTTCTGTATGAGCCTTATGTGAATGGACAGGTAGCCCACCTATGTGAGGTTTGCCGAGGTGGTAGGCCCTGTCCTTTACACGTTTTTTTATCATTTAGACAGTCCACAAGTGGAATGGTCAGCTCCAACTTGCCTTTGTTCTTGGTCCTAACTTCGTATGGCCTATCCGGGTGCATGTGGATTCCAGGTGGCAATCGACGTCTATTGGCACGAAATGCTTCCAGAACTGTAGCCGCCATGTGGGAAGATGGGAAGGTTATCTTCATTAGACGGGGTCTAAGATCACCGTCATTCTTGGCTAGTCTCGTCACATGCTGAGTCAGTATGTGTTTGAGCCTCAAGGACTGTTTGATGAATTTCCATTCCCTGATGTCAGAATTTGATTGAGTAGGGTCTGCATTTTCCGGTATACCTTGGACAATTATGTTTCTTCCGTGGAAGAACTTCTCGCGAGATTCGTTAGGGAAGTTTCGTATGATACTGCGCTCAGAGTACGGTATGTCGGGCAGTATTCTTACGTTACCATCTGATTTCAGCAAGTGGCTTGCTAGCAAGACGTCCTCTACGTCGGTAGCATCCTTAAGTGTTACTCGGAGAAGCCTCGGGTGATTTAGATGCTTAGAATTTTTTCCTCGAGTGAGCCGGAAGTTCGAGCTTCTTGTTCAATTCACCCCAGAGCATCCTGTCGTTTTTGTCCTGCAGACTGAGAGGAAGATCAGGATTGTCAACGAGGTTCATGATAATGAGAGAATCGTCACGAACTGTTGTTAATTTACCAGGTTTCACGATGGGTTCAGGTTTAATAACTTGTTGTTTGGAGGTCAGTGTGCGTTTATGAATCATGGGCTCTTTATTGACCGGACGAACAGTCTTGGGGGTAGACTGTGCGACTAAATCACCAGTTATTTTCCGTGCAGCAACACTTGGGTTGCTCGGCTTAGGCGGTGATGCCTGGTTCTTTTACGCTCTCTTAACGTGGGTCGAATCACCTACAGGGTTTTTGGCAACCACTGTTGT